TTTTTAAAAAAAAATCTGAAAAACTGAGTCAGAGAGGGCTAAATAACTTGTAAGTGGAAGGATTGGGAATCAATAAATATTTCCCATCTACTGTGCAGTCAGCCAAAATTATGCCACAGACATCTTTATGCCATTAAGGATGGGGTTTGGAAAGAGTGAGGTGTTTTAAAAAAATATTTAATAAAAATGTAGTAAAAGCAAACCTTAGTGAAAATTTTCTTGTTAGCCAGGCATTGTGTGCGAAGCTCCTTGCATGAGTTAGTGTGTTTTATGCTCACAATGTCATTCTGACAGAGGGATTATTCTTATTGTCCACATTACAGAAAAGACTTACAGGTTTTAAGTCAATTTCCCCCAAATCACCTAGGAAGCAAGGGATGAGCTCACAACAGAAACCTGGATAATCTGACTCTAGAGAATAGTCCATTATCCATCATCTGAGTCACTTCCTAACTAAATAGATCATCAATAGAAAAGACTTATGATGTAAAGCTCAAGCCCAAAATCATGATGCAGAACATCCATAGTACAGCAAAAACACACAATTTAGTGCTATATTAATCAGTGACTGGATCTTGAAGGCATTCTTAAAAGGCAAAGGTGAAATAATACTTCTCCTGAAACTAGTATATGCTTGGAATATTTTTTAATTGTTACAGCATGTAGACAAACAAGTTAATCAATATAAGGATCAATAAAGGAGACACAAGCAGTCCCTGAAATGACACTGATATCTGTCTTAGAGATCAGAAATGGATCCTTGTTCCTCTAGTGTTGAAGATTCTACATCCAAAAGACTGAGGCAAGCGTGGAAAGAAAGCCAGTTCTATTAAGAGAGGTAGAGAGATGGACTTCTCTGGAGAGAAGTGGGATCAGGACCCGGTTGCCCATGGGAAGGGGCATGCATGTCTTGATCTTTTATAGACTCCCAGAATCCCCTCCTCCTCCACCTTTTCTTTCTTCTCTCTGTTTGTGCCTAAGGGGAGACAGGAGCAGGGCAGGGGATAATCACTTGTGCTGAGAAGTGGGATCCCTGATCCCCCTGGAGATCTTAGCCACTGGTTGAGTGGACCAGAGGTTGAGGGGGCAAGTGTAATCTGGAAATTACTTGTTAGAGCTCATTGTCTTTG